TTACCATATTACTGATGAGATTATTATTTTTATGCTTATTCATAGTTAGAATGTTATATACTATATGGGATAAGTACATGTGTTTCATTTCTGTACTGGTTGTTGCTTTCTGTAATTTAATCAACATCTAGTTGTTTTTGTTTCTACTTTACTGCTTCATCTGTTATCTTTTTTTTAACAGTTGACTGAAGCTCATTTTTTTTCTCTCTCCATTTTGTGTATTAACTTTGTATCTACAGCTGACTGAAGCTGACCAAGAACTCTACAGAAACTTCCCTGTGGTCATTTCTGATCGATGGCAACAAGAAATAGCTGAGACAGTGTTTGATGCCATTAATCAAGAGGCAGACAAGATGGCTCAGAAGAGGAAAGCCAAAATGAAAATGATCTTTGAAGATGAAAAAGGTTAATATAAGTATTTAATATTATGTAGACACATTCACTGCAAAGAACTAGAAATTTCTCAGTTTCTTTTTCATTTTTTTTTATGAAAAGCAATATAAGTTAACCTAGAACATAATTGTTCCCTTTTACTAAGTTATCTGTTAATGAAATATATGATAACAGTTAACTTTATTTTATAAAAGAAGTCTGATTTAAGTGATTATTTTTAAGAATTTCATTTTAAAAGTTAATACTTAACTGCTGTTTTAAGGCTACTGTTATGATATTTCCTATTATATCACCATTATCTTGTTAGTTCAGCATGTTCTGTTCTTGAGTAATAAATTATATAGTATGATAAAGAATGCTTTATTTAACCTTGATTTATTCTTATATAGAGAAATAAAATTCTACTTAGCAGGTTTGTTTTTCACTATTAATTATACACCTATATGTTTTAGAGTCTGACTGCATCATTCATGGTTTTATCAAAAAGCTTGGAGGACCATTTGCTTCTGCCTGGCTGACTAGATATGGTAAACTTTATCCAAACAGAATGGAACTACATACAGAATCAGGAAGCAATAAACCAGATGTAAGTTTTGCTTTGAATTTTGCAGATATTGTGTCACAGAAGATATAAATGTAATTTCATTTCTTCTGTTATATTAAATATCTTCTTGTATAATTATTAACATTTGTGAACATTTTCTTGAGTTATGAATTTCGAAGTTCACGTTACACTTTGGGGGTCACACCAACGACCAGTGTTTTTCTCAGGTTTTAGGTGTGGGCAACCGGACGGTGAAACTCTCTGCTTTTATATGTTGGGAGATTGGATGCTACATGGGTGAACCTTTGTTTCCTGACATCACCCAGTCTCCTGAGTTGGCTGAAATTGTTCATAATAACGAGGATTTTGATAGTATTTTTCCCACCTCCAAAGTTTGCCGTTCCTTCCCAATTACAACCTGAAGATTCACTTAGGCCTAATTCACTCTTCACAGATTTCTTGTCTCAGGTTTGTGTTTTTATCCTTTTCCCCATCTCTTATTCACCTCGTTCCTCGTTACATCTTCTCAACTATTTTTGGTATTTCCTCCCTCCCCAGATATTTGGGTCCATGCTGTACTTTGCACCATTCATCTTCCCCACAATTCTGACAAGCTTACCAGTCCCTGCTGATGAGAAGCATCCCCATAACATGATACTGCTACCACCATGCTTGACATTTGGGATGGTGTTGACTAGGTGATGTGCTGTGTTGGGCTTATGCCAGATGTAATGCTTTGAATTTAGACCAAAAAGCTCAATTTTTGTCTCGCATGACACAAAACCTTCTGCGACATGTCTGCAGTATCATTTACATGTTTTGTCACAAACTCCATACAAAATTTAAGATGGTTCTTTTTCAATAATGGCTTCTTTTTTGCCACTCACCATATAAGCCAGCTTTGTGTAGGAACCAGGATATTGTCAATGTATGAACACTGACTCCCATCTCAGACATGGAACTTTGCAAATCTTCCAAAGCTACTGTGGCATCCCTAACCAGTTTTCTTTTTGCCCGGCTCCTTGGTTTGGAAGAGCAGCCTGATCTGGGTGGTATGAAGCACATTCCACTTCTTAATTATGGATTTCACCGTGCTCAAAGGGATAATCAGTAACTTTGAAATTTTTTTTAACCTTCTCCTAATCTGTGCTTATCTACCACTTTATCCCTGACTTGTTTGGAAAACTCCTCGGTCTTTATCGTTGGTTTTTTGTACACTATGTGAGTTGTGGCTTGAGCAGATGCATTTACTCTGAAGTCAAGTTAAACCACTTTGATTATACACAGACAGAGACCATTAAACTAATTTTGTGACCTTTCAAACTAATCTTTTGCACCTGAACTGATTTATGGTTGCTGGAGCAAAGGGGTTGAATACTTATGCAATTAAGAACATTCTAATTTTTTTTGAAAATTTAACTTACTTACATAATATCAGTGTTATTTTAGCTTTCTCAATTTGAAGTAGATTGTATAGATTCTAAATATAAAGTCCAATTTGAAAGTTTCATAATTTCGATCTCAAATGGCAACAAAATGTGGAAACTGCAGGGGGGGGGGAATACATTTGCATATTGACAAACAGTATGGCAGCAAGAAGACAAATTATAATGCTCTGTGTAAAGCAAGGGAATCTTATAAAAAAATACTAGTGCAATATAAGACTTACTAACTTTTATTTTGTATTTTCTGTGAAATTATTTTGATTTTGGACCATTAATAAATTCACCATTACTGTTTTTTGTGATTCCTATGTGTATCACTTGCGTGTTTTCATAATTATTTGCATTACTGTTTATGAACAAAATAATGTAAAGCAAAATATTCCCCATTGAAAGGCAAACTTTCATATAGGGGTTTACCTTCATGTAAATCTTTTATTAATTATTTCATGTATTATTTTAACCCAAGTTGCACCATATGCGTATTTTTATTACCTTATTTTGATCGAAATACTACTTTTCGAACAAAAACATTTCCAGTAGTTGATAAATGCGTATTAACATTTCCATGCTTGTAGGTGACTAACTTCTAAATTTTTCAGTGAAATTTCACAAAGATGTAGGAAGGAGCTTTGGGTTTTAATAGAACATATGTATCTGCCAGGTTAACTCAGTCTGAGTTTACCTTCTCAATACTGGTTTTCTAATAGGTGTATGGCTAATTTATGTAGCTAACTTCTAATTCTTTTGGTAAAATTTCATGAAAAATGTTGCAACAATGCTTTTATTTTGCCCAATTTGCAGATACTTTCATCAGTTTATTTTCTTTAATGCTTAGAAAGCAGTTATATGTATCTATCCAGTGTGGCCATACACCTGGAAAAATATGGAAAAGTCCAGTAACTTTAAAGGGGGGGGGGGGAAATAAAAAATAATTATCTAAAACCTCGGATTAACACTTTCAATTAAATTATCTATCCAATTTTTCTTGATGATTTTGACCCAAAAATTCTTGAAATGTCTTAATTATTGTGAATATGACCACTGTTTTCATGTTTTTTACAAAATTACCCAGTATTATCTGATTTTTAACTACATTCTGCAAAGGAAATATGAAAATATGTGGAAGGCAGACCTCAACTTTCACCAAAATTTCATTGAAATGCTCACTAGAATCTGGACATTTGGCATTTTTGTTTCTCAAAAATAAAGAACTGTTTAATTTGACCAAATTATCTAGAATTGGTTGGTTGATGTTAATTTGAAGATTTTTAACATTTTAAATGAAACGGTAAGTCCTAAATGTGCAATGCACTCATCATATATTGTGTGCAAGAAAAAAAAAACCTAGAAAATTTAGGCTTACAGAAAACAAAGTATTGTTTCTTTAGGTATCTTAAAATAATAGACCTTTTTTTATTGATTTTGTTCAATGTCTTTTATATTTCTGTAAAGTAGAAGTCATTGGCTAAGTGCAGAGCAAGTTCTTTAAGACATTAATGTGTAGATGTTAAAGAAGTAGAGGAATTTACTTGACTTTAGGATTAACTACTGAAACAGGTTAGTTTCCATTTGGTTGTTTTAATATCATAGTATCCATTTTTTGCTAGATAATGTTATCCTACAATATGACAACATCAGGACTGGTATTGCCTTTATGCAATAAGTGCACTTGAAAAGTTTGGATGGATAGTCCTTATCCTAGCTAACATTATCTCCTGATGTACCATTGTGTGACTTCCACCTTTTAACTCTTTTAGGGATGGCTTGCATGTGCAACACTTCTATATAACTGAAGAGCTTAAAGTAGCTGTACAAAATGGGAATCTTATCATTGCATTAGTATTTTGTCAAACTACTGTGATGAAGCTCTGAGTTGTGCAAAAAATGCATCATATTTAATAATGAATGTATTTAGAAGTGAATCTAGTTGCTTGCATCATCAATGGGATTTATTTGTTTGTAAGGGTTGGCCCGCAAGAAGTAAAAATCCCCTGATCTATTCTGAACACCATCTCACATGTTATCATTTCATTTAAGATAAACCCATTTAAAGGAGAAATTGATGTGTCAATAATATAGAAAGTTTAATTTCTCACTTTAGCTAATATTCATGGACCAAGTGGAAGATGTTTGTTCTGACTATGTCCAAATAAAGGGAGAACACTGCATTGTGCTGAAGATGAGAGGAGACCGAGATGCACGTGTCGTCCTGACAAACACTGTATGAGTTTTTTGAAATTATTTTTGCTCTCAAGTGATGCATCATTCTTAGTAGAACAGAGTTTCTGATAATTTGCAAGTTCTAGCAGAAAGGAGACTAGGTTGACATAAATTCCAAACATATGAAAAATACTTGTTTTTCCTGAGAAAAGTAGCTGTTGAAAGTCGATAATTTTTTCTGTGAAATTACAGTCAATTGAGGCTTAATGAAATGTTTAGACTCAGGCTTTTGGAATAAAATATTAGTATTTACGTTTTAGATGAAAGTTAGTCACAGTATTATGCATTACAATAAATTTTACTGAATCCATGGAACAACGATTATTCATCAATTATCTCTTACCTTACAGATTATTTATTATACGTACATTATCAGATCTTAGGTTTATTCTGGTTATTTATGATGCATCCTCAAGAGGCATTTATAGTTCCTTCAGATGTGTAACTTAATTATCATTAGGAGAATTGTATTCTGTAGAGTATACTTGTTAATAAAGACTGAGACTTTGAAGAATTTCAATAACAGTTGTATAAAGTGGAACAGTTTATTTATAGAAGTTCATAGAATGGCTCTGAATTTTTCTTCAAGTACAAACTTTTAGCTCATAGCTCCATCATCTCTTGACCGATTTGAGATCTAATTACAGTTTTGAACCCTTTTGATTGATGTATTTGACCACACCCAAGGTCTCATTGATTCATTTACTCTAATCCTGCCTTAAAGAATTTCAATTTGAGGGTAAGCTGGTGAAGATCCTGATGAGTAATAAAATTGAATCGGGTATAGACGTGCCCCACATTTATTCTAATACTGCCCGGTGCCATGGCTATTGAGGATTCCCTCTTATGTTAAAAATCAATACATTTTAACAAGTAGATAGTCTCAGTGCTTATTAAGTTTAAATATTATTTTGGAACAGTATGGTTGTAAATGAGAAAAGTTACCAGGATGTTACAACTTATAAATGTTTCTTAAAGTATTTTGTAATGAATTTCACTGGCTGCTAGTAACCTAATATCATGTTGTGCAGGATGAGATAGGATTGAAAGAATGGCTCATATCTCTTAAGTCTACCTACAAGAACTCATTGGAGCTGTTAGGCAGCATGGCAAAGAAAGCAGGGAAGATTTATGGGACTGATGCCAACAGTAAGAACAGTGTAGCCATTAGACATCCAAATGGCAATTAACAGGTAATACAATAGATATCTTTTCAGTTTTTGATGATCAGAAACTGTACTTGCAGATGGTTTATAGGAAATCAGTGAAAAGGTGCTAGTTGATCTTATTTGTTTTATTATTATTATTAAAACATGAATAGACTGGGTGATAAGAAACAGTTTTTCTTCCATTTAGTATATAATGAACATGTACATGAAGAGAATTTTTCTTTTTCACTGATCTCCTACATGACTCTAGAAGAAATGTAATGTCAACACTGAAAAGAATACATTGAAATTAATACTTGTTATGTAATTAGAGAGAGTTATCAAAGCATGTAAAAGAAGATTTTGGCTACTTTTCAGACTGTACTTCAATGAGATAAATAATATTGTCTGTGTTTTGATCTCAGCTGAAAGGTATATGTGGATCTCAGCTTGTAGTAAGAGTTTACTAGGATTGGGAATTTTGGCTTATCTTAATGATATTTCAAAAAACAATTAATTTCCTCGGTTCACAAAACAAAATACCTATTAATTTTGTGAAACTTGGGATACATTACATTTAATTTACAGTGGGAACCTTGACAGTATAAAAGGTCTTTACTGGTAGAAATTTGTGACTTATGTAACAATTTCATAAAGATTATATGTTCAAAACATTTTAATGTTTCAAAAAATTATTCTGCCAGAGCAGAGGATGTGTAGTGAAACTGTATATTATAAAATAAACACTACAAAGTTAGAATATATTTATATATACATAAAACTAAAGTCCTGACAAACCTTATTAAAGTAGATAATATTATACAAGAACATTTAGTGGTATCTGTAAAATAAAGATTTGGTAAATTGTACTGAAGTTATAAATATAGTAGGAAAATTTCTTAGGTACATATTTTCAAAGTACTATTCAAACATTTTAAAAAATTTCTGTAATTATAATAAGTAAAAATTTTTTTAAGATTTTGATGTTAAATAATCTTTATTGGTCTAATGCATTTTTCAAAGTTTATTGTTCAGGTATTGAAAATTTCTTGACAGTCATTTTAGAATTATACAGATTGTAGACCCGTGATTCTGGCTTGAAAGTTAATAAATCTTCTATTTTGTGTTCTAAATACTTGTTAAAATGTGGTATAATCAGTTTGTGGATATTGATTTTGTCTTGACAGGATCATCTACCACAAAATCTTCAGAGAGAGAAGTGGAAGCAATGTGTTGTAATGAATATATGTATAGTAACCAGATGAAGAATGTGTATAAACTGAACAGTTGTGGTTTCCACAATTTCCCTCACAATGAAAGTAGTTTATAAGCCCATCACTTGATTTATAGATATAAGCAAAAGCGCTTCTACAGTATTTACCTTGCTGCTCCATATATGTGCTTATATTCACTTTTCTTTTCTCTTCTAATTAAAACAAACACATGTTTTAAAGACCTGCAATTTAACAAAAATCACTATAAAGGTTAAAAAATTTGTATTAAAAAAAGTTACTGCTTCATTTAATTAAACACCAAATTTTGATCAACAGAAATTAATGTATGTTTCACAAAATTTTGATATAAGTGCACAGTGTTATTGGAAAAACTACATGAAAAGCTGCCATAGATAAGTGTATGGGATATTTTGTTTTTGTAATTTTTGAAAGTCTCTCATTTAACAGCATAGTATACATTGATTTGGAAGATAAAAATACATTGTAAGCATTTCTTGTGCCAGTATTTGGATTTCAATCAAAAAGGTTCTTTCAAAGTAAGAAAAAGCATCAAGTCCTATGGCTAAAAATAATAAAATTAAGGCATTAATCATTGGGTTAAAGTACTTCCTTCAAAATAAGACCTGCAGTACTTACCCAGAAAAAAGAATAAGATTAATCCCTTTTAAGTCATTGGACATAGCACAAATTTTGTAGTTGTTCTTCAGGAGAGGTTTTATGCACTCCTTTTAAAAGGCAAGATGCACAAATGTTCCAATGAGGAAAAAAATGACAGTGAGTGGAAGGTATTTTAATGTTTATTTTATAATAGTGCTAGAAAGCTCATTCATGTGTACTATTTCTAGCAATGTGTTTAGGCTGTTATTTGTATTTATTCAAATTATTTTGACTTTTCAACTTATAAACCTGTGCAAAGTCAGAATTTCTAAAACAGTTGCTCACTTAATTCTGCTATAAGCTTTGTGATAATAAATATATAACACAAATAACTGTGTAGATGGCTTAAGTTATTGTCAGGAAAAAGTTGTAGATTGTTCTATAAAATCAGACTTTCATATTTATTTAGGTCATTCTTCCAAGTCAGACCTTGATGAATCTCTGTGGATATTAGGAAGTAGGTTTTCTGTGTACAGTTATTGGTCATTCTTCTCTAATGACTAAGAATTTCTAAAAGCATCAGTGTAGGTTATTGGCATTACAAAAGATACATATACAAGTTACTTTTCATGAATGTTACACTGTTGTAAATCTTTAGTATCATTAATAGATAAGTTGCCATAACTTTATCTAAATTTTATGATATTCGTACAGAAGAAACTGCAGTGAAGCACGGCATCTAGTTTCAGATCTTTCTCTACCACCAGATATGCTTAATATCGTAATCCCAGACTATGTTTGTTTAGGGGGACCAAGTTGAAAATATTTTGAATCTACCACCCTTAAATGTTTTTATGACTCGTATTTTCTGTGAGGTATCAGAAGTCTAATTGAGGATCAAACAATAATTGACATTAATAATGTTATTCTTATCAAACAATAATTTTATTCTTAGTGAGTTTAGTGTCTAAACAAAAGCCAAAGAATACAGTGATTTAGTATTCAAATTACGACTTCATTTTCTGATACTTATAACTTAAGAGACTTAGTTATACAATATAATTATGTACAATGGTATGTGTTCATAAAGTGATTAAAATTGACATATATATATATCTAGATACAATATAAGACTGTTAAAAAAGTCTTTAAACTCTGTATTTCAAGTGCCATTTAATTTGTTGCTTTATTATGACTTCAGTTAGTGTTACAAAATTAAGTAACTTGTACTTCAACAAAAATGAGTATAATCCATAAATACATTTTATATATATGTCATCACATTTAGATTGACTACATCCTTCATTAAGGGAAAGAAAACAACAGTACAATGAATGCACATAAAAGAAGGGCTTAAATTTTGTAAACTTTTATCTGTTTATTTTGTTGTTGTTCTGAATAAAGTTTATTATCAGCCTGGAAGCTCAGGATATATATATATATATATATATATACCTAAGTACTTTTTGTATTATTGTAAAGTTGGATGTTTTAGTAAATTAAACTTCTAATCCACAGTCTACACATATACCTAAGACAGTTGTCTCAGCCCCATATTACCTATCATTTTGAAAAAAAAAATGTACAAGATATCAGAAATAAAACTAGACTTATTATTTTTTGTTAAAATCTAGTATTATTAATTTTAATGTTATATTTTATCTTTGTAATTACATTATATAACAAGATTTGGAAACGTAAATAAACTTCTCTTTTTATGATTTATTTAAGGTTTATACACACGTTCTTAGAATATTAAATTTATGTATTTTATTTGTTTGTATTTAATATGTAAAAAATTGGTATTTTAAGGTATATTCTCTAATGTTTGTTAATAATTTTTTGTTATAAGCATGAAGCAGTCAGTGTTTTCATATATTGCGAGGTGATTTTTATGTTTGTCTGTCATTTATAATGTACTTTATATTTTAATTTTATCTGCTTGAAAAGGAAGTCAACTGTGAACGATGAGATTTGGAATTTACAACTGATTATTGTACTAATATGTATAAGAATAGCATGAATTGCCATATTGATACTTATAACTTAGGAGACTTTTTAATGTGGAGAAAAAAAAGAAGTGAAATTATATTTTATATTGTGAAATTCATACGTAAACAGTTTACGTTATCTTGAATTACCAAGGCCAATGTGTGCAAAATAAATTATAAAAGGCTCCTATGTTTAAAGTCTAGGTTCCATGCTTTTAATGATGTCTTTGAAATATTTATGATTTAGTAAGAGGTCTTATGATAGATAACACTGTTTTTAGATATCAGGGATGTCTGTAAGATATAATAAACTAATGGTATATTTCAAAAGTTTTTCTTCTCCAATAATCATTTATATTTCTATCCTTGTTTTCCAATGTTTCAAACCACAACAGCTACTTTCAGATAAAAGTTATTTTCTAAATTGAAGTAGGTACAGTTAAACAAGAAAAATATTGCAGTGTCATATGTATATACTATTTAGAAGTGTGTTTGTAAAACATTTTATTGGTGAAAGATACTTTGCAAGAAAGTTTGAATGTGAATTAAAATGTCTTTAAACAGTATATATTACATTGTAGTTCTATAGAGTTCCACAAAATTCTAATATTATTGCTGATTACCTTAGAACAGCTTACACATAACACTTAAGTGTTTAAAATTGCAATGCATTCCAAGTCAGCCAACTATATTTAAGATGTAGTAGTCTTATTTTTGCATTGATATACGAGATTATATCTAAGGCCATCATGGAAGATTTAAAGATTAGCTCAAAGATAATCATTATGTATCTTGTGGTTCATAGGGATATTGGGATTAGGTTTCTTAAACTGTTAGTGAAAAAATCCAAGAAATCAGACAAATTATCCAGTTGGGGTGTCTCTTAATCAAAAGCATCATAACCTTAAATTTACGAAACCTCCAAAATGGTACAAAACATTTCAGAGCTTTTGGAAATTAGTAATATCTAATCTTTAAAAAAGCAAACAGTAGCAACAAAAATCAGTGCAATAACATCACAGGCCAAGCAAATTGTACTGAGATACTACTATATGAAGGTATTTGTGTTTCTCATTGTTTTTAATGCTCAGTACATCTATATAGTTGCAAAAGTGTTGATAATATCAAGTCTGTTGTTTGGTCCTTTAGAAGCTAAGTTGTTATTCATACTTTGGCAAAATCAATAATGAAAGAAAATGTTTACATGCCTTTTACACAAATATCCAGTGCTTTGGGCCTGTTACGTTTGTTAATTACTTGATAACCTATTCATATATCAGATTAGAGTGTATTCAGGAAATTGTTAGGGTGAGTATAAATTCTGTTTAATCATTTATATCTCTGCTAAATGTTGTGATTGTAGTGTTTATAACCTAGTACTTAAGGTTAGTACAAAAGAATCACTAGCTCTATCACCAGAATTGGAGATTTTCACATTAACATAAAAGCTAGTCAGAGTTTTTAAAGAATGTTTGAGACTGGGATTTGACTGTGACTGTATTACATCATAATGGATGCAGAATAATTTTCAAGAAACAACTCGACAACCAAGAATTATTTTATAAAGCGTGCAACAAAGGCTAAAGAATATTTAGTGGCAACATGTAGCATCAGTTGTTTAAATAAGTTCATTGATCGGCATTATTTAGTCAAATCATTATGAGAAAAAAAGGTTTGTAATATTAAAACCTTTTTGGAATCAAATTCAAAGATAAAAAAAGCAAGTTAGTGCTGTATTAGGTTAGTGTAACACATTTGAAGTTAAACCTAGTGTGTTGTAATTCTGTGGTAGTGCATGGATATTCTGCTACTGAAAATTAACATTTTGAGTTTTGAAATATTAACTATATTTTGTTACAGTCACCAAAAAAAAACAACAAAACCTGGATCACTTCTACACTCTTTATGGGGAAATAATTCTAAATGTAATTTAACTCAAATTTCATGTTTTAAGGCAGGGATTTTGAAGTGTACATATATTTGTTTTACAAGATTCAAACTGTTATAATTTTAGTTTCTGGTGTAAAAGTTCTGTCAATCTAGGATTAATACAGGGTAGTGTGTGTGTGTATATGTGTGTATGTATAGACCATTATGTTAAATTCTTTTGTCACTTTTCATTTTAGTATTTAAAGTAGTATTTCATTATTATCATTGTTACAGACTTTCCAGGGATGCATGATTGGCATTGATTTTAGGGTAAAAAATTTGTTTGTACTTTAATTATAGTTTTCATTACATGAATATAAATAGAAAGTTCTTACTATCAAACAGAACTTGTAGGAAAATCTCCAATGATTTGTAACTGTTTTTGTTTCTTTTAATTTGAGTTCTTGATGTTACTTGGCCATTAAAAACAGCTTTCAAAAAAGTAGTTTTTATTTTTCGTTACAAATGTGTAAAATTGTTATTATTTTGTGGTCAAAACATATATTTTTATTGAAATAAGTCATTGTTTTAAATTTCTCATCTGTAAACAAGTGTTAACTTTGAACTATTTTATTTAAGTTTGTCTAAGTATTGAAAGTTTCAGTAACTAGTGGTCCTTATCAATGTTAACTAAGGAATTACTCTTTGTAACCGATTGTTACTGTGTTTTATTATTAGATATTTCTTTAAAAACATTGTGACATAAGGAAACATTGTATTTAAAAATATATTGCTCTTCAAGTATTGTTTTTCATTATGCATTGGTCATTAACATTGTTAATGAGGATTTATTGAAAGAAAAAAAAATTATTATTTAATTACGTTTTGTTATGAAATGTTCCCCAGTGAATAATATTTAGTGAATAACCATTGTATGTAAACAGATGTTGCCGTTTAAGTATTTTGAGTTGTGAAATGTTCCTTGAGGAATATTGTTAACCGGTGTATTGTTATCTGTA